TCCCACCTCTTAAAGATCATTGGCTGACAAAGATTCTCCATCAAGTACATACCATGTTTGTCTTTCTGGGTCCAGGATAGTTTCTTTTTCTAATTCCATTTATTTGCCTGCTAATTTCAAGATGTTATTGTTATTTTACCACTGAGTAGAATTTCATTTTGTTGAGACAGGCATTATGGTATTACTTAGAAACCTGGCACTAGGGAAATTCCCAGGAAGTAACAAGGATGACCCCAGCTAAAACTCCAAAAAATATTGGAAATCGTTCCTGAACTGACCTTCCCTGAAATCATATTGATGACACTCTTAATTGTCATCACATAACCTTCATCCTGTAACTGATAGAAGCAGATTCAGAGATCCACAGCTAAGTACTGGACCAAGCTCCTGGAGTCCAGTCAAAGAGAGGGAGGAGTGACAATATAAGCAAAGTAGTCAAGACCATGATGAGTAAACCTACAGAAACAACTGAATCAAGCTAGTGGAGTACACTGGCTTAGGACTGGCAGCTAGGGAAACTGCATAGTACTGAAATAGGCCCCGTGAATGGGAGTGAGAACTGTATTGCGTGGGCAGTATGTGGTGTCACTGAAAGTGCGACCAGGATTTATTCCTAATACATGAACTGGCAATTTGGAGCCTACTCCTTGTGGAGAGATGCCTTGCACAGCATAGATAGAGGAAGGAGGGTCTTTGTCCTGCCTCAACTTGATTTTCGACAAAGAGCTAAAATTATACAATGGAAGAAAGAAAGCATCTTTAACAAATGATGCTGGCATAACTGGATGTCAACCTGTAAAAGAATGTAAAGATGAAAATAGATCCATATCTATCACCATGCACAAAACTCAAGTCCAAATGGATTAAAGACCTCAAAATAAATCTCACAACACTGAACCTGATAGAAGAGAAAGTGGGAAATAGACTGCAACACATGGGCACAAGAGACCACTTCCTACATATAACCCCAGTAGCACAGACAATGAGAGCAACAATGAATAAATGGGACCTCCTGAAATTGAGAAGCTTCTGTAAAGCAAAGAACACTTACATTAACACAAAAAGACATCCTACTAAATGGGAGAAGATCTTCACGAACCCCACATCAGACAAAGGTCTGATCTCCAAAATATACAAAGAACTCAAGAAACTAGACACTAAAACTCTAATTAACCCAATTAAAAAATGGGGTACTGATCTGAACAGAGAATTCTCAACAGAAGAACTTCGAATGGTCAAAAGACACTTAAGGTCATGCTCAACCTCCTTAGCGATCAGGAAAATGCAAATCAAAACAATTTTGAGATACCATCTTACACCTGTCACAATAGCTAAACTCAAAACACCAATGATAGCCTATGCTGAAGAGGATATGGAGTGAGGGGAACATTCATCCATTGTTGGTGGGAATGCAAACTTGTGCAGCCACGGTGGATATCAGTGTGGCGGTTTCTCAGGAAACTGGGATTAAACCTCCCTCAGGACCCAGCAATTCCACTCTTGGGAATATACCCAAGAGATGACTTATCATACCACAAAAGCATTTGTTCAACTATGTTCATAGCAGCACTATTTGTAATAGCCAGAACCTGGAAACAACCTAGGTGCCCCTCAATAGAAGAATGGTTAAAGAAAGTGGGAACATAAACACATTAGAGTTTTACTCAGTGGTAAAAAACAATGACATCTTGAATTTTGCATGCAAATGGATGGAAATAGAAAACGCTTTACTGAGTGAGGTAACCCAGACACAAATGGAGGAATATGGTATGTACTCACCCATAAGTGGATTCTAACCATAAATAAAGGTCTTTGAGCCTACAATTCGTGATCCTAGAGAAGCTAAATAAGAAGGTGAACCTGAAGAAAATCATATAGTTATCCTCCTGGATATTGGAAGTAGACAAGATAGCCAGGCAAACTTGGGTGCACAGGGGGTGGGGGGTGGAAGTAAGGGGAGATGATCAGAGAGAAGGGAGAGAGGGAGGATTGGGGATGGCTTGGGAAAATGGGGTGGGGGGAGGGAAGAAGGATGGATATGGGAGCAGGGAGGCATATATCTCAACTATGGGAGCCATTTTAGGGTTTGCAAGAGACTTGATTCTGGAAGGGTTCCCAGGCCCAAGGAAAGGTTCCCAGATTGTTCCCTGGGTAACAGAGGAGAGAGTGCCTGAACTGGCCTAGTCCCATAGTCATACTGATGAATATTTTGCATATCACCGTAGAAACTTCATCTGGCGATGGATGGAGATGGAGACAGAGACCCACATTGGAGCACTGGACTTAGCTCCCTAGGTCCACATAAGGAGCGGAAGGAGGGAGAGCGTGAGCAGGGAGGTCGGAATCACGAGGGGTGCATCCACCCACTGAGACGGTGAAACTGATCTAATGGGAGCTCACCAAGGCCAGCTGGACTGGGAGTGATGGAACATGTGATCAAAATGGACACTCTTACCGTGGCTGGCAATGAAGGTTGACTGACTTTGTGGGAGTCTGGTTTGTTTGGATGCTCACTTTTATAGACCTGTATGGAGGGGGAAGGACCTTGGACTTTCCACGGGGCAGGGAACCCTGACTGCTCTCCAGTTAGAAAGGGAGGGAGAGGTGGGGAGGGGGAGGAAAAAGGTAGGAGGGGAAGAGTTGGAAATTTTTAATAAATAAATTAATTAATTAAAAAATAAAAAATAAAAAGAAATATCTATATCAGTGTGTTTGTAGGGCCATTTGATAGGAAAATTTTTTTCCAATCCTTTATTTTGAGAGTGTTTGACATTGAGATATCTTTATGTATGTAGCAGAAGGATGAGTCTTGTTTTCTTATCTGTTAGTCTGTGTCTTTTTCTTACAAATTGAGTTCACTAATTTTTTTTATTACAAAATCTTTTATCATATTGGCCCAGATATCAGTCTCATAAAGTCAGGATTATAGCAAAAACAGAATTGGCTCAATATTTGAAGGAACCTTTCATATTTCAAAGTATCATATATGTCCAGTGTGGTTCCGGAATGTTAAGTGCATCAAGAGCAAGCTCTCTCAACATACAAATTAGCATGACTTAGAAACATCTTTTCTCATTTTCTAATGTTCTCTATACTTAGCAAAATGACCAGAGTGGAGAGTAAATGCTTTCAATATTCTCAGTACACAGGGTTTATAGTGATGTTTATAGTGATTACGGAAGAAACCCTGGTCTCAAAGAAAGAAAAAGATTGGAGCAGGGAGGAAGGGAGCTCTTGGTTTTGGAAATCTACCTGTCTTCATAGGCTGTCCTTTTTTTTTAAAGTTTATTAAATTATGAAAGTTTTCATTTCAGCCCCTCCTCCCAACACCCTCCCACTCACCCCTCCCCCTCCTCCTCCCTCTTCATCCCTAAGAGCAGTCAGGGCTTCCAGCCCTGTGGGAAGTTCAAGTTCCTCCCCACTCCTTCCAGGTCCCTGAAGGTGAGTATCCAAACAGACTGGATCCCAAAAATCCAGTATATGCAGAGGAAACAAGTACCAGTGTCATTGAGCCTATTATTCGTGATCCTAGAGAAGCTAAATAAGAAGGTGAACCTGTTGAAAATCATGTAGCTATCTGCCTGGAGATTGGAAATAGACAAGAGTCCCAGGTAACCTCGGGTGCATGGGGGGGTGGGAGGGTTGTTGGAAGGGGAGAGGGTTAGAGAGAAGGGAGTAGTGGAGGAATGGGGAAAGCTAGGTGGACTGGGATAGGGGGAGGGAGGAAGGATGGATATGAGATCAGGGAAGAATATATCTCAACTAAGGGAGTCATTTTAGGGTTTACAGGAGACTTGATTATAAATGGGATCCCAGGTCCAAGGAGAGATCCCCAGACTGTTCTCTAGACAGAGGAGAAGGTGCCTGAACCGGCCTTGGCCTATAACCATACTGATGAAGATTTTGCTTATCACCATAGATCCTTCATCTGACGATGGATGGCGATACAGATGGAGACCCACATTGGAGCACCGAACTGAGCCCCCCATGGTCCAAATGAGGGGCAGAAAAAGGAAGAACATGAAAAAAACTCAGGACCGCAAGGGGTGCGATCACCCACTGATACAAGGGGACTGATCTAATGAGAGTTCACCAAGGCCAGTTGGACTGGGACTGAACGAACATGTGATCCAACCAGATTTTCTGAATGTGGCCGGATCTCTGAATGTGGCTGGTCCGGAGCCTTTCTGAAAAACCATTGACAATGAGTTCACTAATATTGAGAGATATTATTGGTCAATGGTTGTTAATTCAGTTATTGTGTTGTTTTTGTTATTGTTCATGTTGTTGGTGGTGGTGCATGCATTTTTGTGTGTACGTGTGTGTATATGTGTGTGTGTTTCCCTTCACTGGTTTTTGTTGCTGTGAGTAAATCTATTATCTATGTTTTCTTTCACGTGTATAGCCAATGTGAGTTGGAATTTTCCCACTAGTATTTTCTGTAGGACTGGATTGATAGATATGTATTGTTTGAATTTGACTTTATAGTGAAATATCATGTTTGTTATCTATGGTGACTGAAAGTATTGCTAGGTATAATATTCTTGATGATGAACTGTGACCTTTTACTGTTTGGATGACTGTACAGTTCCTTCTGACTTTTAGGATCCTTAGTAAGAAATCGGGTGTAATTCTGACAGGTCTGCTGTTATATTTTATTTGACCTTTTTCCTTTCCATCTTTTAATATTCTTGCTTTATTCTGTATGTTTAGTGTTTTGAATAATATGTAGTGAGGGAAATTTAATATATATAGGCATGTCCTTACTTAGGTTGGAAAATTTTTCTTTTTCTTTTTCTTTTTTTAACCTTTCTAAGGATGGGAAATTTATTCAGATGATGTTTGGGGAATTATCTTCCTTGTTCCTTTCTCTGCTGCCTAACTTATGCGACTGAGTCTGTCACTACATTTCTGCTGAATGGAGCCTAGGCATTAGACACACATGTAGCCTCTTGGTACCCTCAGAACACGTTACAACTTACCCATTCAAAAGCAATAGCCATATCTCTATGGTGGTGACTGATTCTCCAGTTACTTCAATACTTTAAAAGGCTGCAGCGGCATGCAAAACAATTTCATTTCATTAAAAAAAAAGTTAAGAAAGGTCTCCAGGAGATAGTGAGTTTTATTTTTTCTTGTCTGGATAGAGGTTTTATTTGCCCTTGAGTGTTCCAGGGTGGAGACTAGAAGAAAGCACAGTGTGGTCGTCTCCCTCAGTTTCATCTTCACCATCCAGAGAGAGAGCAGCATACTTGCTTGCAGAGCTGAACTTAGAGGCTGGGATCTCCTCAGATTTCTTTGGCTCAGGTGCAGATCTCGAGTCTTTATCGTTTTTGCCTTCTTTCCTATCCAACTCCTTCAGTTGTCTCTGTTCTCTACATCCCAGGTCCGCGACTGGAGCTCCCAGTTTGGCCTCTTAAGACACTCACCCCATCTACTTTACTTCCATCTTTCCTCGATGGTCGGTCTGTAGAGGGCTGAGCTGGAGCTACTTTTCCTCCACCACTTGTAGGGACTGCTGCTCTGTGTCTGAGCACTGAGAAGGAGCAGGAGGGTTAGAGCTTCGTTTCACCCACGCATTCTCCTTGGTGGAGGGGCTGGCATGACCTTTAGTGGCTGATCAGGTTTAGGAGGTTTGGAGGTTGGAGAGTGACAGTCTTCTTTATTGAGGGTTTCATTTTCTGGAGACTTCTCACTCTCTCTCCTTCCTGTATTTCTGCCAGATGTGGCTGAGGCCTCAGTCTGCGATGACTCACTTCCCGTCCTTGACCATTCCCTTTCCTGAGTTTCTTCACTTCGCCAACTTGGGTGTCTCTCCCGCGGCCGGCGGTCTAGTTTTGGCTCATCCAGCCACCGCTGCAACTTCTGCTCCTTCTGCAGCCGCTCTTCTACTTCTCTTTCTCTAACAGGTTTTGCCCCTCCAAATATAGAAGCCGTTTGGCTGGACAGGGAGGTGTTAGCAGAGGAATCATCTTCCTCAGGAGTACCCCGAGGCTTTAGATTCAGTTTGGGTCTTTGAGAGGAACCTCTGTCATCACGTCTATAATCGTCCCGAGAGTAATCATCCCTGGAGCTCCATGACCCATCATCCCTTCTTTCATTTCGGTCTTCATAGCGGTCTCCACCTCCTCCGAAGTCATCATCCCTATGGTACCCACTGACAAAGGCTCTTCTGCCACTGCCTATTCTGGAGTCATAGCCTCCGTCATAGTCTCTGCTGCCTCGGTCGTCATAGCGATCCCGGCCCCCATAGCGATCCATACATATCTCGACGTGGGTCATCCCGATACCTGTCCCGGTATCCATCCTGATACCTGTCTGAATAGTAACGATCTCGATACTTGTCTCCAAAGCTCTCATCACCTCTTCTAGGTGGGTAGTCATCAAAGTTGTCTGCAGCAGGACAGGCCCTCCAATCTGTGTCTGTTTTGTCAGAATCTCGATTTCTGTCTCGACGAAAAGAATGATCATCCCGGACTTTATCCTGTGCTTGATCAGCAACATCCACTCGTATTCTCCGGTTGCCTAGATACTCTTCATTGCGATTCAGAGCACTGAACAGAGAATCCAGGTCTTCAAATTCCGCATAGCCAAAGCCTTTTAACCTGTCTGGATTGCTGGGTTCACGTGGTAAGTGTACAGCGCTGATATTTAGTCCTCTAAAGAACTCCTTAATGGAGTCCTCTGTCGCATCATAGGGCAGGTTCCCTAGGAAAGCAGTGTAGGGTGGTGATTTGGGAAGACGGCTTCGGTCGATATTGGGTTCCTGAGCAGACCATGGAGCAGTGGAAAGGATGGAATGGTCAATTGGAGGTGCCCGATATACACATAGCCATCGTTACTATGCCAAGTGCCAAGTTGTTGACACATGTCCTTTTAGGTCGTCTGTTTCATCAGCCCAGCTGACTGGTTTGGGGACATAAGTGCTTCCTTCACCAGTACCCCCATACTCAGCTCCTCAACTAGAAAGTCTGTTAGGGAGATGGTCTTCCCCTTCTTCTTCTTCCTCCTCCTCTTCTCTCTTCTTCGGCTTTTTGTTGTTGTTGTTGTTGTTGTTGTTGTTGTTGTTGAGGCTGCCGTGTTGGGAGAGGGAGAGCGAAGGCCTAGAAAATTTTTTTTTCAATGATTTTGTTGGATATGTTTCCTGGGGTCTTTAGCTGGCATTCTACTCTATTCCTATTATTCTTAGGTTTGATCTTTTCATAGTGTTCAAGATTTCTTGGTTGTCTTTTGTTAGGAAATTTTTTTATTTAGCATTTTCTTTAGACCATGAATTCATTTCCTTTACCATATCTTCAAAGCCTGAGATTCTCTCTTCCATCTCTTGCTTAATGTTGGTGATGCTTGAATTTGTAGTTTCAGTGGGCTTACCCAGATTTTCCACTTTCATAATTACCTTGGTTGGTGTTTTTGTAATTTCTTCTATTTCTATTTTCAGGGCTTTGAACCTTTTCCTTCACCTACTTGCTTGTTTTTCATGGCTTTTTTCTTTGGTATTCTTTAAGAGATTTGATGATTTCTTCAAAATTTTGTTTTTTCTTCAATTTCTTTAAGGGACTTTTAACTTTCCTCTTCAAGGACATCTTCAGCTTCATAAAGTTATTTTAAGTTCATTTATTAGTACTTTTATTATATAGAAATGTTCAGGTCTTCCTATCATAGGATTGCTAGGTTCTGAAGGTGTTATATTGCCTTTTCTGTTTTATTGTATTCTTATACTGGCATTTACACATATTGACTTAGAATGATTATATGTTTAGGTATTGATTCCTGTGTTTCTCTTTGTTGGATGGGTGTTTTGTTCCATTGTTTTCTAATTCTTCTCTGGTCTTCTGTCCTAATAGCCAAGGTTTCTAGTAACTGGCAAGTCTACAGACACAGAAGAATGTCTCCACTGTGATTTTGTGGGGACTTTGGAGCCCTAGATCAAGTCTGATCTCCAGTAAAGACCAAGCATTCTTTTGAAGTTGTGGGCTACTGTATAGCGACCAGGGGAAGGGATGATAATCTTCTGACTGTTGAGGAACATACCTGGGCTTATATAGTCTAGTGGAGTTATGGGAAAAGGTTGGCCAAAGGAAGAATGTTTAGACTTGATAGATTGAGTGGCAAAGTGGGTCTTAGTGGACCAGAATCCAAGGAGTAGTGACAGTCCATCTGGCAGACAGATCTTTCACCAGCTCATAAACTAGTGAATACTGCACCAGAGCAATGGAATTCTTCCCAAGTTGAGATTAGAGCCCAACAGAAGTGCTGGTGCTGAGATGGGAGGGTCATGGGCATGGGCATGGAATGTGTCTTGGAGCTTAGGGACTGGAGATTGAGGCAGCTAAGCGAGAAAGATGGGCATTCATCCATGTTTTCTGACTGGTGTGCTTTGTACCTGGGTTATAGATTCTACCAGAGTTGTGAGAAGGAGATGGCCATGGAGATAATGATGAAGTGAGAGTAGTTAGGTGATATAGTAGGTCTTGGGGGACTTAAATTCAGGGGGTGTGAGCAGTACAGCTGACAGGGGGGTCAATCACCCACTTGCCAACTGAGGTAGGCTTCTTCTGATGTGAAAATGCAGATTTTCACATTGTTGTTATCTTTCTTGTAGCTATCACATTGCACAGAGCTTTATGAGCAATGTCGGTCTGTGGATTTCATGTACAGCACAATTGGTCTTGCTTCTGTAAATTTTATTGTTGTTCCAAGAATGTGGGTTTTTTTCTTTCACATTCTTCTTCTCTCAATTTTTTCCATTTTTTCATCTATTATCTCTTTTTCACTCCACTTTCTTGTACGTTCTTTACTTGTTTTATTTCAGCATTCACTTCTCCATCTAGTTTTTTGAAGATTAGAAATGATTTTTATTTTTCCTTATGCTCCGTTTCTGTCTCTGTCTTTGACATCTTAGTCTCTCTCTCTCCCTCCCTCCCTCCCTCCCTCTCTCTCTCTCTCTCTCTCTCTCTGTGTGTGTGTGTGTGTGTGTGTGTGTGTGTGTGTGTGTAGGGGAGGTCATGTTTGTATAAAATCTAGCTCTTCTGTTACTTCAGCTGTATAGAAATGTAATAATCTACAGCCTAAAAAGTCCAATGTCAGAAACACATGAAGGCCTTATGTTTTATCTTACCTCTGGTATTATATGAAGAAGAGCAGGACAGATTCTTGTGAAAGTTTCCAATCTCCTAAGTTAGTTGCTACTCACAAACAAACTCACCCATTTAAAAGACTTTTCAGCATTATAATAGAATTAGCAGGTCGCCATTTTTAAGGCATAAAAATCTATATTAAGAGAATGAAACATAAAATAAATGATGAATATTGAATCTAATTTCCAAGGGTCCTTCCACTCACTTAACTCATTTTTTTCAGATAAACTTAATTTTTTGTGCCATCCAGAATTTGAAAATACACAAAATATTTGCTCTCCTATTTATGGTTGGCATTTAATTATTAAATGCTTTCCCAAGTAAAATTTTGAGTTCACAGGTCATGTCAAAATCTAGTAATATAATTTGTAAAACAAATTATGTGTGATTTCCCAGACAATTTGAAGCCAGTAAACACAAAAATTTGCTTATTCTGTGAACAGCATGATAATTCATGTACATCGTAAAATATGAATATTTCATATTGGAAATGTTTATGAAGTCACAATAATGTTTCATATTTCTTCTGTTTACATTCAGTAGGAAATTATAACGAATATGTTTCATTTGAAAATAATTAAATGTTTCACAGGTATTAAATCCAAAGGGAAAATTATAGCATCCTATTTAAAATGTATAAAAATAGCTGTCTTTCTTAGTAAAATGACTCAGGATACAGGATACAGTTCCACTTACCAAATATTCAAATATGGTAATCATTGTAACCCTGAGATTTGGAGCAATAGAAAGTTCAGTGGATAGAGGAGAATTGAGTGTATATAACCTAGACATTAGATGTTAAATTCTATTTATACTGTTTTTAATTTATTAGCAACCAATATGACCTGTTATGTAATGAAAGAGTACTTATTTCAGTTTGAATTTAAATAAATGACATAAAATGTTATATTATCTTTGCATAAATATAAATAAATATAATAAATATCAAATAGCAATATGTTTAATAAGCATAGTACTCTTTTTGTTGTTTGGTTTGTTGCTAATTTGATTGTGCTTCTTTGTTTGTTTATTTTCTGAAGTTGTGCTTCCCTGTATAGTTCTGACTGTTCTATAACTCATTCTGTAGATCATACTAGCCTCAAACTCAGGGATCTACCTTCCTCCGTCTACTGAATGGGGGAATTTATGGTGTGTGCACACTCTGCTCTTCATGGGTAGAACAACTTTTCAATTTTTAGACAAAGCATCCTGTTTTACTAGATATTATAACCTCCAGGCCTGATCATAAGATCTCATTTGGATGCTCACAATCAAACTTTGGTCCTCCCTAAAAGAATCAACGTTTTGTAACCTCTGATCCATACCACCAGTGCCCTAATGTTGTTTTTGTTTGATAGCTGATAACATAAACTAAATTAGAAATAAGAGTTTCTGTCTGATTTTCTAATACTATTTTTTTTTTGCAATCAGTGTGTTTGATTTCTTAACAAAGCTAGTGTACTATAGAAAGTCTTTGGTAAAAGAGTTTCAGTAAAGATGTTAGTACTTGCCCAAGTCTTTTAAGGTAGGTGTAATCATTTTATTTCATATGACTCTACATATGATTCTACAACCAAAGTGTCTAGTTATTTTTAAAAGTATGGGGATGGTTGAGGTTTTAAACTAGAGCTACTTGGTTTATTCTAAGTTTTAGACTCTTACATCTTTGATGTACATGGATTCAGGCATTTCCCTAGAAAAAGTGAAGAGGTCTTTGTCTCATACTGAAAATCTGCAGTTTGAATTATGCAAGTGACAAAATTGGAAAGGGAATTCAATGCATCACACAATAAGAGTTTAAGTTTTTACTAGGAGTGATAGATGTTACTTTCTCTTACACTTACACTCACCAAAAGAATTTATATAAACACCCCTCACCACAATGGCCTCAAAATTACAAAAATATTTGGTGGGTAGAACTGATGATTTGGGCTATGATTGTTGAGATTGTGATTACGATTTGTGATGACTTTTTACTTAATGTTAAAGAACAATGAACCTCTGATCAGAGAGATAGGGGCAACTAAAGCTTTTGAGTTGTACCACATCACCATGTTGAATTAAGCAGAAATTTGAATTTACTCAGTAGACAGGGATGTCAAGACATCAAATCTTGTTCCTCAGTGAAATTCAACTCAACACAGTTAAGACTTTTTCTTTGCCTTACTAAGCATAACCTGCTACATGCTTCCTCAAAACAAATTTCTCCTTTCCAAGACATGATCCTGCTCCACTAACAGGAGAAACTATCCTGACACAGAGTAAAGAATCCTAATGATTCTAATCTATATGAATTATAGCTATATCCATAAGGATGGTTGTAGGCTCCCCAGTGAAAATTATTAGACCCAAGGAACAGTTACAGTCGCAGCTATAAAACTAAAAATGTGCATTTTTATGTAGTGGCACAACTTTATATGCTCTTTAATCTGAAGGAAACATAAACAAACATAGAAATAAAAGTATAAGTGTATTTTATAAATCACCTGTTTCTATTGTGAAAATGCAGCAGACTAATCAACTTCTGTTACTCAATGTTCTTCATAGATCTGGATGTCTTGGAAGAGTCCCTACACACAGTACCATGTAAAATTGGATGTTTGAGACAATGAGGCAATATGTGTAACCTGATGAGTTATATGTAGAATATACAAAGGTTTTAAAGTCAAAAACTTAACCACAACAAAAGTGAACAGAGATTTAATAAGAACTTAACAAAATTATATGTACATAAAACATGTTCACTATCACTTGTGACCAGGGAAATAAAACTTAAAACAGTAGTGAAATCCAATAATAAGCACTGAAACAAATAAAACGAAAAGGCCAGACAATTGTTGCCAAGAATATAGAGACCTTAGTTTTTCATTC